GACGATGCCGACGAAACGTCTGGGAATGTACCACGTTCGCGGTCCTAATCTGGAAATGATTATGCATACAATGGACTCCGGACTAGGTGCGTTCCTCTATGTCTTCCTATCAATATGTCAGAGTTGCGAAAACAAGGTTAAACAACTTCTATAATCTTCTTCTGGCCGCCTTCTGGTCGCAGTCTCCTTTAGCTTTATACTGTTGGTTCGACCTCGGTTTCGCAACTTGGTCTAAGCATCGGAGAGACCTTGTGAAATGTACCTAGTCCTGTGTCTTTTGCCATAGTAGTTGTGATTTCCAGCATCGGACCATTGACTTGGTGTACTTCCATACGTTGTCGGCACAGAGTTACGACTTGTCACTTGCTACTTGCCACTTTGATAACTTCTAACTGTGCTGATGATGACATCTCTCACTAACGATGCCAGCGAAACGTTTGAGATGTACCAAATCAATGGTCTGATGTTGGAAATTACGAATATTATGGCAAAGGATACCAGACTAGGTACGTTCCACAAGGTCTCCATGACACCCCGACCAAGTTGCGAGAACGAGGCCAAAACAACATTAATTACTTGTAATTTGCACTGACTAATTGATGCTGGGTCCTACCGAATGGAATCAAACGAATTGAATGGCTAAAAATTAGTTTCCAGAATAAATAAAATCTGCATTCATAAACTATTATATTTATATAGCGCTCATGACATAATTTTGAGCCGATTTACTACTCTTTCTTCTCTAGCAATACGGCCGCCTCTGCGCATCATGGCTCCTAAATCCAACCCTACTATCCTTCCCGAACAGGAAGCATCTTGCAACATTGGTGAGTCTATGCCACCTGGATTACCGTCTTCCGTCCGTCGCGACCGGTTTCGCACCTTTCCCGTCCTTCCGAACTCTTGGAGCTATGCCGAATGTAGGAATACTATCTTTAAATTCCTTATTATTTCATATAGCTTATTACCTACCTATCGTTTAGCTCACATAGAAGCACTTTCATTAAGAATCTTTACATTCTACATCATTAAGTATCTTGAGTAATGGTTATTCATAATTACGCTTCTCTGTTATACATAAATTTCCCTCTTCATAATATTTTTTTCGACCACTTTGTCCTTTACGCTTCAAGATTAACATTTCTAGTCTTGATTAATTTGCAAATGCGACGTTTATACCTTGTTTCATAGAAAAACGGCGTAACTACTAGGGAACCTTAAAATGTGACTTGACTACTTATTGGATTATTAATTTTTAGACTATGAACAATTTTTTACCGAATGCACTGATCACAAGATCGTACTTTACTCTCAAGTAGCATAGTCTTTTATTTTAAATACTCTTCCTACTTTTCCAATCTTATCTAGGAACTTTTCACAAACCGATAAGATATTAAAGTAAAAGCACATGTAACTATTACTTATTCATTTATATTTGCCCCACTTGGTTGCAGATCACCCCCATGCTACACATCCCACTGGCTGTCAACCTACTCGCAAATCCTGCGTGCAACCAGATCAGAGTACTGGCTTCAGGCCCCAGTCCCTTCGGTCAGAATGGAATAAGGCTTTGCGTCGGGTCATTTGGTGCCCAGATGAGCGAAGCTTGATCAGTTGGATCGTAATTTTTATACAATAGTAATTTTTGCCTCTTGTGCAATGATATTTCGATGTAATTAAGCAATGCATTTCAGCACATAGGTTAATAAATATTGTAATTTTCTTGAAAATATATCTGTTAGGAAATGAGAGTAATTATGAAAATTGATAAAGCCCGTGCTTTCTCTTCACAATTCTGAAGTAGTCTCCAAAAGTAAGCTTTAAAGCAATTATTTTATACTACTTCATATCAATTCCTGTATTCAGCTTACGAATTTTATCTACCTCCGTTGCCCAAATTTGTAAGAAGATGACATGAAATCAAGAAAATGTATATTTTCTATTATTAAGTTAACACTATTAGGACATAAAAAGATAAAGTAAAAAATCACGTGAAACCCAATACAGAAAATCGGTCATAGCCACTTATCTAAACAAATCAAAAGTTGTTTGACCTCGCCTTTACAAGGTGGTTGTGTTTTTAGGGCTACTTAGTTGGACGCACCATGTCCGAAGTCCTCTGCTACACTAGTTATCATAATTCCCACGGTTAGACCGTGGACTTGGTACATTCCCAGATGTTTCGCCAGCACCATCAGTGAATCTTGCCATTCTTCGTATTATGCTATGACTCATCAAAGAGACAAGTAAAGTCAATCTCTTGACTTGCCTTCTGCCGAACGATTGTGATATCACTCCTCTTCCTCTCCTGGCAAATCTCTCTACTCCCTACCAAATTATATCACCCCTGCCCTATCAAAATTTCTGACTTGTTTATATATGATTACTTTAGAAGTGTCTTTTTTAACGAGCTTAGCGGGACGTCCTCATACCTGCTCTCTAACTTTTCCCGCTCCTCGATTTGTTGATCCCACTTGGGTCTGCTATCCGGTCTCCATCATGGGCTCGTAGATCCATTTCTCATCTTTATAGTGAGCTAATTTCACTCGGTTTCAGTCCTAGTGTACCTCTTACTTCATGCGCTACTTCTCAAGCCTTCGATAGCATGTACACCCAATAGAGTGCCTAGGCTCTGATTCCCATGCTTGCAGATACCAAACATTGTCTTCACAGATCATCTTATTGATTTAACCCATGCACTCTGAGCAAACTGTTGACATGTATTTCTGGTCACTTGCTGCCTCTCGAGTGAATTTATAATTAATTTTGGTATAATGATGAAGTTGCTTTTATGAACAGACCACATTCGTTGAAAACGTCCTTTTTGGATTTCCTAAAATTCTTAACCGCATTTTCCCTGCGATCCTTTTTCCTTTGAGTAATGATATATCCTTGATCCAGGCGCACCTTTTTTTCTGGTCTCATTTTATCATTGTTTTCTCCGGGTTTACTTGAGCAATAGGCAAAGTTATTGCTAACCTTGTCTTCTTCCAATCTCTTGTTCATTAAGTGTTTTTCCCCGAAGATATAAATGGCCTACCTAATCTTTCGTTTTCTTGTGTTTTCACCCTATTAGGTTCTCCTTTATGTTGCCTTTCAATTGATCTCGTGTCCGGTCTGTGTGATGTATTCAGCT